ATATTATTTTATAATATAGTTTTATGATTTTATTTATAAGACTTTTAAATCTACAAAATTTTAGAGTCACGTTATTTAATTAAAAATATTGTATAATATAATTTTTAATATAATTTCTAATTTATTTGAATTTCTAATTTATTTTATAATTTATTTCAATAATTTCCCCCTTATTATGAATAATATTTCCCCTTGACTCAAACTCAAAATGATTAATACAAAAAAATAACTGAAGCATATGAATTACGTGCCATGTTACTTCAGCCTCAAAGTATTGATTAATCATACCTCTTCCTCTATTTATAAATATATTTATATACATATAATCCTATTTGTTCGATTTAGGATCTGTCATCTTTCCATTTTCCTATCAAATTATTTGCTCTAGTTCGATAATCGTTTGGCCATTTGCCCAGATGAGCTAATTAACTGAATGTTTTGAATGTGCCAAGCAGCACACACACCTGCTTAACCCATTCGCATTTCCATTTCTACCTGTTTCCCAACTACTGGCTTAACACATCGCATTTGAGATGCAGCCAAAGAACTCTCTGTTGGGTTTTTGCTTAAAATTAAGTGCGAGTCGAGTTGAGTCTCTGCTTTCTGCTTTTGCTTTTCTGCTCCCTGCTCCCTGCTCCCTACTTCCTACTCCCTGTTATGTAATAGCATGTTGGGTGTATAACTTTTATTATTATGATTATACTTCTCCTCTGCGCCCAGCTCCATCTCGAGCTCCGCTCCCCATGTTCTCGTCGTGGCTCCTCTGTAACTCTGGCCCCAAAGAGATACGTGAAAGTCACGTGAGTCATTAAAATGAAATAGCAGTCGGTTCTAAGTAGCACCGTGACGAAGGGCTCCGGATCAGAGGGAGTTATAACGTATACAAAAATATATATACTTGCATACAGAGACAAAAATAAAGAGGTGAACTTGTGACATTAATTTCTCTAGTTGGAGTTGGGCGGAAATGTACATCTTTCAGATTATGAAAAATAAATTAATTTAAAATTTTTATTCGGTTCCTTATAAATATATATATTTTTTATATATTTATCACTTGATTTTTTTTTTTTTTTAATTTTAAATTTCATATTATTTTCTCCCAGTGTATTTAAGGTAGCTACTGGCAAGTAGTAACTGGTAAACTGGTGATATGCTTTGATACTGTTAGAAAGGAAGCGAACTTGGCCACAGCCAAAGGTAAACACACAGGTGCAGATTATGCACACCGATAAAAATCAGAAAAAACTTTAATTTAATTTATAAAAAGGGAGAAAAGAAAATAATTATAATATATATGGATTTTTCTTCTTCTATTTATATCAAGAAGAAGTGGACTGAAGAGGGGAAATTTGCATCTCCGTTGAGTTTGATAATTATTATTATTAAAAATATTAAATTTATATTATAATTAATATTTCTAAATTTTTATAAAAAAAAAAATTTTAAAAGAAATTAAAATTAATTGTAAATTAATAGTTCCTTACGTTTTTTTCTATATTTAATTTAATTAAAAAAACATTGCGATGATTTCGATAGAAACGATATATAATTGCTGCAAAGTCATTGTTTTTTCTCACTTCTGCTTTCGATATTTTAATCGATATAAAACATCACGATATATATACTATATTTATGTAATTAAACTATAGTTCCCAATGTTCTATATATTTATTTTGATGTATTTAAAAAAAACCTTTCCTGTATTTCGATATATTCAACTTTGCTTTAATTTTTTTTTAATTTACATTTTTTGCCCGTGTAGTTTCGTGAGCGATGAGACGCTTACTGCCATAAACAAAGTTGTTGCTGTTGGCCCGGCCATGGCCATTGCCATTGCCATTGCCGGCATGTTCTTTGTCGGGAACGCTGTCAACGCTAATGTCATCCGAGCTGAGGTTTCTCCTGGGCTTTACGCTCCTCGCTCCTCCGCGGTCCAAGTTGGACCTGCACAGCGCTCACATCCAGCTTCTGGATTCATTGGCGATGTCACCATCATCAGCTCCATTGTTCGTCATCATCAGCATCCCGTGTAGCCAGGTTGTTGCTGCTGCTGCTGCTGCTGCTGCTGCTGATGCTGCTACTCTTGTTGTTGCTGCAGGCCCTTGGGAGCTGGATTTTTAATTGCAATTAATTTTCAGCATTCCCCTTCTAGCCATCCCGTTCACTCCGCACTAAGTGGCAGTTCATCATGTTTCCCCGGGGATTGGCTGGCGAATGCGATTCGATTTCAGATCGATTAACAAAGGATAGTGTTAATTGCACTATCAGGGCATTCAATTTGCTGTGCGGATTGTGTATAGTTTTTCTGATACAATTGAATTTCGATATGTAATCGATATAAAAATGTGTAACTTCATGGGTAGTTTTTGACTTAATAGATACTTGTAATTGGAATAAACTTGCGTGGAAAACATTTATCGATGGGAAATGATTTATATGATAAATCGAAAATATTTTAAATTTTGCTATATCGAAGTTTTAAAAAATCGCAAAAAATATCGTTAATATCTAAAACCACCTGAAACCAAAATATTTAATAACTATTTTAGATTTATTTATATAAATAGAGCGCTCTATCCCAAAATATTCTAAATGATCGATTTTATCGATATTTTTCATACCGAATTTATTAATAATTTTTAAAATACAATTTCATTTTCATCTCTTATATCAAATATATTTCCAAAATTAATATTTTAAGCCAAAGTTAGACTTAGAACCATTAAATCAAACAAAAGTTTGTTTTATCTCATTTTTATCAAATATATCGATAAAAATATATCCTCCTCTGCATCCTTTTTATTGAAATTAAAAACTCGGAAATGGAGTAATTTAATAAAAATCAAACCTGTAGGAGTCCTTTTTTGAATCACTTTCTCCGCCTTCACTCGAACTTAATTGATTAATGCCGACCACATTTTTGCATTTATTTATTCATATGCGATTTATTGATTTGGCCGCGTTAAATAAATTGCCACTGCATATTTGATTTCAGCCATAATTTCAATTTCGTTTGCCAATTGCAATTGCATTACGAGCCTTTTGTTGTTACTCAATTAACTTTTAATTATCCGCAACTGCGGGTTCAGCTTTGCTGCTCGATTGACTGACTGACTGACTGACTAACTGAGTGACTGACTGAACCGAGTGAAAGAATGAGTGACTTGCTAACCAGCTGACCGCTGCAGCCGACTTACTTTTGCGGAAAAACTTGGGGGGAAAACCCAACTCAACTTGGGAAATGGCAGGCTCGTAATGAAAACACGCAGCTCGCTGCGAATAATGAAAGGAAAATTAAGTAAAAATAAAGTAAAAGGCGGGGGTAAAAACTCCAGTTGTCATGGCCACTAATTGAAAACGCCAAGAGGGATGAAAAAAAAACGTCCTTCGATTCCCCAGGGCGCCAGCGATGACCCAAGGGTTGATGATTGAGGGAAAAATACACCGGTGTCACAGGTGTGTAGGTTTAAGCAGAGAGCTTCATCAATTTATGAGGAAAATTTCTTTTGGGAATTGTAAAAACTTGTTGGATCGATCATTAAGAATAATATCCAATGGAGGGAGTTTTTTTTTTCAACTTAAAATATTTATTAGGGATATATATTCATTTATTAATTTTTTAACATTTTTTAATCTATGGAAAATCACTTGGGAATTATTAAGAAAATTGAAGAAAAAAGGAAAATATTTGCAGATTAATTTTTATGTATGAATATATTTTATTTGGGTTTTTTAAATTTATTATATTCCAAGAATATATTTTCTTTCATAAAAAAAATCTGAGAAAAATAAAATAAATGTATTATGAAGAAAAAAAATCTTATATTAAATTCTTTTTTCACTTTCATATTATTTTTCATGATTTTTAAGATTTAATTTTTATGAATTAATACTGATTTAGTAATAAGAAGTTAATATTTTTTGTTTTAAAAATTTTAAAAATCCTTCGTCCCTGTTTATATTACTTTTCACTTATAAAATAATAATACAAAATATTTCTAATAAATCATTAATGTTTGCCATCTTCTAAAACTTCTAGAAAAAAGAACTCCTTCCTTGACCCTTTTACTTTAACTTGAATTACCGAAAAACCGACCCATTTCTTGACCATTTTCCTCCTTATTTCGCTGTCATTTTCACCAACCAAACTGACCAACAGCCGGAAATTCGGAATAATTAATATGTCGCTGCTGTGGCTGCCATTTTGGCTTACGTCTCCTTTTATTTCTTCTATTTTATCTTTTTTTTTCTCTTTGGTTTTGGCCAAAAATGAAATGAAATTTCCGGTTAAGACGACAAGAGTCATTCGCCGCATTAGCTGCCATAATTTTAATGGCGTTTAATGGCCTGGCGAATGGAATTGTCTAGAGAGAAAAAAACGCATTAATTAGAAAACGAGCAACAACGACTAAGTAATAAAATAATAATAATAAAGCTGGACAACGTGACTGTCGAGAAAAACGCCACTAAATTAGGCACTACTAACCAGGGAATGACACCAACAACAACAACAATAAAAATTCCGCACAAAAATTCACGCACTTGACACAAATTCCATTAAAATTGAAAATAAAACCCAAAACGAAATTCAAGAGCCAAGGAAAAACTGCTGCCAAAGCATGCAGGAAAAATAATTCATATTACCAACGAGGAAAGCAAAAAAATTGTCTAATGTTGTCAGCATAAAGTGGAGAAAAAAAAACTGAGAAAAAAATATAATAATAAAGCATAGAAGAGGACCCTTGAAAGACAAATGAAAATGCGGCTAGGGTTAGTCCTGGCGGAGTCACTCACATAAGCTGTATAATTAAGTCTAAGTAAGAAGCTTTTTGTTAGGGCTCTTTAAGAGCCTGTAAATTAAGGTTTTTTTACTCATTAATTTAGTAAATAAAACAACTAATTTTAGGTCTTAAATATATAAGAATCCTTTGCTTTAAAAAATTATAAACATTTCTCTTTTTTTTTTGCAGAAATAATGGCTTCAAAAACAGTCATGATTTTGATCAGACGATAGACTTTAAAAGTATCCTTTGAAAAATATCCTTTGAAGGGAGGAAAAATGTGCAAGGACATCGATTCAGAGACAAACTTATTAGCGAAATGCACAAAATCCACAAAGACAACAGGCGGAAAGCTGGCGAAAATCGTGCCACAAAAACAGCTAGCAGCTAAGCGGGAAAGCGAAAGGCAGCACAAACTTTACAAGGAGCAGGAGCAGGAGAAACAGAGCCAGGACATACTGGAGGAGCAGGAGCAGGAGCAGGAGCAGCAGCAGGAGGAGGAGCAGCATAATCAGCCTCGCCAACCAGGACATCAAATAGAGCAAACGGCAATGGAAACAAATGAAGAGACGCAGCACGAACAGGCGACCAAATGCAAGGACAAACACAAACACCAGAGGCAGCAGCAGCATCAGCATCAGCAGCAACATGTCCTGGTCCTGGTTCTGGCCCTGCTGGTCCTAGCCCTGCTGGTCCTCATGCCCACGGGCACCGCAGCCTCCATGATGACACCTTCAGCCAGGATCTCCAGTGCCAAAGGCACGGCACGTGAGCTTCTCTTCACGGAGATGGGCAGTGGCATCCAGACTACTGGAGGAGGAGGAGGAGCTCCAGGAGGAGCAGGTGCAGGAGCAGGAGGAGGCGGCACAGGAGTAGGAGGAGGAGGTGGAGCGGCCGGCATCGAATGTCCCAGCTTCGACAACACCGCCTGTCCCTGCTACAAGTTTGAGGATGGTAAGTGGGAGCGAACGGCCGAGCGAGCTAATTAAACGCATCAGCATCCGAGATGATGCCGAGATGCCACGGCTGGAGGATGTGTGGCAGAAGAGCTCCAATAACAAGGAACTCTTCTGGAGTTTATAGGAGGCAAAGCAAATTCAGAGAAGTTTTTAAAGCGAATTTATTAATAATACATCGCTTTGGGAATAGTTTTCATATACAGTTACTATCGATAAATAGTCACAAAATTATCGAATGGTTTCGATATATTTTTGTAAATTAGAGAAATCGAAATGAAGAATTTTTAAATGATTATTTAAACAATGGTTGTTGAATTCTTAATGAATTTGAATTTGAATTTTAAGGCAAATATAATTAGTATTTAATCGATCTTAATCGATTTTAATCGAATTCAATTTTATTGATATAATTTTTAGCTTACCTTTTGATCATTTTATCCTTCAGTTGTAAGAGTATTCAGTCACAATCAAAGAGCCCTTGATGTTTTATTGCTTTTGAAGGACACAAGACAAACAGGAATTTAACTGGAAAATAGGAGAATCGAAAATATAAATGAGCTCAAGACTTTCTTTTATTTTTCTAGGATATATAATTTCAGACAGAATCAATTTAGGCTCCTTATATTTACTGAAATGAGCTTAATATTTAATATTTTAATTAGCTAAACCGCATTTATGTACCAAAGTTACCCCTTTGATTAGGGAAAACCACTTACTCAGGGCTCAGGCTATGCTAGGACTCTCCTAAGATGTCCTGGCCATGAATATATTGATTGGTATTTATTGTGGGCGAGAACTGCAACGCACAACAACAGAATAATGGACAGGAGCTGCAGTCCCAGCTCTCTAGGATTTATAGATGACCTAATTAAAATGCACAAATTCTAAGGGATTAATATAAGACTTCCTTCTCACCCCCCATCCCTCTTGGCAGGACTCTTCCTGGAGTGTCCTGGCACCACAGCAATATCCCTGCGCTCAACCCTGGAACGCATTTCGGCGCCCATACACTCGCTGTCCATTTACGACTTTGACCGCTCGGTGACATCCCTCTCGCAGGACGTCTTCCAACCGGGCGTCCACATCCGTCACCTGCAGTTCTCCCACTCGCACCTGGAGGCCCTCAAGGACAACAGTTTGCGCAATGTACGCCCCAGCCTAGAGTCCCTGAGCATTGTCAATGGGAAACTAACGCAGGTAAGTGGTTTACAATTAATATTAAAGGTTATTTAGTGAGGGGAGAAAATTAATTAAATAATATTTAACATTAAACAGAATTTAAAATTATTATTGAAAATATAAATATAAATAAAGTAAAAGATAAATAAATATAAAATATAATGAAAAAAAAATGTGACAGAAAACATAATGAAAATCTTATGAAATAAAATATTATATTATTAATATATAAATATTCAAAATAAAAATAAAATAAAATATTTAACATACTAAAGCAATATTAAAATTAATAATACTAAAAATATCGTATATTTAAAAAATAACTTTTTTTCCAATAAATATAATTTATAGTTAATTAAATACAAGTTTCTATATTAACCCAAAAATCTGTTGCCTACTTTCGGGCTCCACTTGATGGTGGAAAACCCCACTGACTGCGGGGAAGTACCTAGACGCTTACCCAAGGCGCACACCCGCATAAATTGCATTTCGCGTGACCGCGGTTTTTGTCGGGCATTTTTCAGAGCTAATTAGTCCATCGAAAGCCGAACGAGGATCGGCATAAGGACTCCACCATATCCAGCTGTAACATACGGCGCCCAAAATAATGTTAAACAAAGTTGGGCAACCAAAAAAAAAAAAAAAACAAAAAAAAAAAATGTAAATGGCTTTCTAAGCCATTAAATTTGGAAAAACAGCCGCCGCAACGGCAACCAGAGTCCCGGAATGCCCGGCATTCAACAGTGGCCTAGGGGCGGAAAATAGTAGGGGGGAAATGGAGAAAAACCTAGGGCAAGGTGGGGCCAAGGGGGTGGCGCCGCCAGCCATAAAAAGTAATTTGCCGCCGCCGCCGAATAACAAACGAGCCAAAGCCAAAAACAATTGCGTTCAATAAAATAATTTGCAGGCGAGAGCAACTGGCGAAAAGCGGCCAGCCGGAAACGCACACAGAACGGTCGAGGGGGAGGGGGTGAGGAAAGGGGCAAGGAAGAGAGAGCAAGCAGGAAAAGTGACGAACGCTTAAAGCGGCACCATTTCCACAGAATATATGTATATATATTGACAAAATCAGGCTTAAGGGCGGAAAATTAAAATTAAATTTAATTAATAATAGAATTTTTAAAAAATTTTGTTTTCTTTAATTAATTTATTTAATAAAAGAAAAAATACATTTATTTATAAAATGATAAAAAAATAAAAACAATTCAAATACTAGTTTTGTAATTTTTTTTTTTTAATTAATTAAATATTTCATTAAAATTATAAATTATTTAAATAATTAAATAAAATTTTTAATTTGTTAAATAATTAATTAAAATTTGAAATTATTTAAATAATTAATTACAATTTAAAATAGATTATTTTATTAATTTAAAATATTATAAGATTTTAATTAATTAATTACTTCTCCTATCGGAGCAATAGGGCGCTTTAAGCAGACATCTGGCTTATCGCCCACCAATCTTTTGCCGCAATTTCGCTTGAAAGTGGGATGCCAGGCTAGAAGGGAAGAAAATTATATAATTTGAAAAAATTTAAGGATGTATGTTATGTTATCGATACCATATGTGATAGGAATAATGCCTTTTGCTAGATAATAACTCATTTTACAGCCTCTTTTAAGTTAACTCAAAGTTAAAAACTGTTTTTCAGGCTTACAAAGACAGTTAAAGATATTCCTTGATGTAAATTTTATCTATCGATATTATTGATAACTTTTTTAACAAGATATTTTTAGCTATCGATGATATCGATATACGTCGGTTCCGTTATCAATTTCTGCACATTCCTAATTTATTAAGTTTCTTCTTTCCCTCTTTTTTTTTTTTTTTTTTTTTATTTTCTTCTTTTGAATATTGTTTTTTCCTTTAAACATGTAGACCTCTCTTGACTCTAGTAGAACTCACTCTTTCTGGGCTTGGAGAAGCAGTTCTGCTCCCGCAATTGGCACCTGTTGGCCAGCATTTTGCACCTTTGACCATCTCTTGAGCGGACGCAAATCTCCTCCGACTGTGGCGTTGGCCGGCAGGGGAATAAATGTCGCGGATTCTGGGGGCATTGTATGTAGCAGGGTCCGCGGTCTGTCCCCTTAAGTCCCAGACAGTACATGTCCCGTGTGGCCACCACCGAAATGTTCGAGAGGCGAATTTGGTTTAACATATCGCAGACACTTGAGAATCTCTGGCACTGGTTTGCTTTGAGTCTTCCGCAGACCGAAGCACTGTCCCGCGAGCACGAGACAAGAGGACACTTTGGTTGGGTGGGAGAGGTGGGAGTGGGAGGAGGGATAGGAGTGGTGGGAGGGATAGAAGTGGTGGAGGGGATAGGAGTGGTAGGAGGGTTAGGAGTGGTAGAATGGATAGGAGTAGAAGGGGTAGAAGGGGAAGGAGTGGTAGAAGTGGTAGTACTGGTTGTGGTGCTCTTCTTGGTAGTGATCTCCTTGCTGGTGATCTCAGGCCACTCAGTGGTCCTGCCTGTGCTGCCGGCAAGCATCTCCAGAAGCACAAGGCCTTAAAAAAGTTGTAAATTGAATTTATAGATTGATTTTTTATCGATTTTACTACTCTAGAAGCTTAAAAAAATTGTTAAAATTTTTTAAGGAAAATTTCCTCTACAAAAATCGTTACCCAAAATAAAGACCTCTAGAAGGCGGCACATAATTAAAAATCACTTAAAAATCACCAACTAAAGTCTGTAGGAACCAGCGTTGGCCCTTTTTATACTACAAATAAACAAAATAAAAGAACAAAAAAACAAAAACCAGGAAAAGAAAGTAGATATTAAGAGGCAATGACCTGATATCAAGAAGCAATGCCAAGGTATTGTTATTAAAACTCTGAGATGGAGCAAAAGAAGCAAGCTTTTTATATATATATTATTATAAATATTATATTATAATAATTGATTATTAATTTCTACGAAATTAAATATAAAATAAAATATATATTAAATATGTCAATGGTAGGTTTATTTATTTTACATATATTTCATTTTTTATAAACCTAAGAAAGGTATTTAAAAATAAATTTAAATACACCTGAAAAGCTATTTAAAAAGAAAGCAAAATAAAAACAGCATTCGATTGATTAAACAAAATAATAAAAGGCAACAACATACTGAAAGCACTTGATTTTGCCTATAAATACCGAATTTCCCAGTGGAAACAGATATCACTCGATACGAGAAGCAATCGAAGCCACTCAAAAAGATGTCGAAACTAAGCCTTGTCCTGCTTATAGCCACCCTGGCTGTGGTGGCCATCGAGGCCAACAACATTCGGCCCAGTCGCTGCTGGCCACGTTGTGGCCTTTCGGACATCGGTAAAGCCCCCAAGGTCTGCGTCCGCGAGGCCTCGACCAACACCTGCCAGCGGCTGGCCATCTGTCGCCTCCAGGAGCGCAATTGCATCCGCAAGGAGAATGGCCAGGAGCTGCTACGTCAGACCTGCATCACCCAGTGCCGAAAGATACCCCAAGGCAGCAATGCCAAGCGGCGCTGTGCCCCCAAGAAGGTGGTTCGACCCGTGAACAAGGACTAAGGAAGACCGAGGAAGCCTTAACCATTTTTCTAAAGTTTTCTTCTGGTTTTTTTTTTTTTTTTTTGTGTGCTCAGTGCTGTGTCTTTGGAATTCAAAATTCTCATAAATATCTCATAATGTGGCAACAATAAAAATAAATATCATTTTATGGCAGACCATTTCTTTTGTTTTTTTTTTCTGCTAGCCAGTGCACTCTGGCCATAAATTTCGTGTTGGTGTGTCCTGGCCGCGTTTCGGTCGCGTTTGCAAGGCGCCAAATGGCAGGGCGAAGGTTCAATAAATTAAAATCGACTGCCATAAATTTCCATGTCAGTACATTAATTAAAAGGCCGTAATTCGCTTTGTCCCCATGTCAGGTGTCCTTTCAATCCTGCATATACATACATATATACCATATATATATACACCCACTGGAAATTCTGGCCAATCAATGCAATTAAAAAAGAACTTCTGCACTTTCAAGAAATTGCCAGAAAGTATTTACTGACTGCTGAAAAGTCAGAGAAGTGTCACAGAAATACAAAAAAAAAAAATTATTAAGGGGATTTTTTTTGCCTTTCGATAGTTTGGATATTTATGTGCCTGTGAAATATTATTAAATATTTATTAGAATTCACAATAAATATTGATTAGAGTGCAGAATTTGCACAATTTACAATAAATATATATATATATATATATGCCAGGCTATTATTCCGCCTATTTATCGGTAATTAAATCTATTTATTATTTAAAATATGCACAAAGTGGGCACAAAGCTGCATTTTATTTCAATAATAAAAGGTTCAAAGAGCAAAGAATGCTTTTAATTGGGTTTAAATAATTAAAATGTAGATTTTTGGGTTGCTAAATTAAGCCTTAATATATAAATATCTATATTATTATGTATCACATAAATAAACTATTCATTTAAGTATAAATTAATATAAATTATAAAATTATAAAAAAAAATATATAAAATTATTATTATGAATTATTTAATTTATTATTTATAATATTATAATAAATTTATTTATTATTTTTTTTATTTTATTTTTTTTATTTATTTTTTATTTATTTTTTATTATTATTTATTTATTATTTATTTATTATTTATTTATTATTTATTTATTATTTATTTATTATTTATTTATTATTTATTATTTATTTATTATTTATTTATTATTTATTTATTATTTATTTATTATTTATTTATTATTTATTTATTATTTATTTTATTAATTTTTAATATAAATAAAGTATTCCCTTTTTACAAAGACAATCCAGCGACAACCCTATAACTCCACATCAAAGTAACCTTTTCCCCTCAGTTGTCAGTTTATAAATTTTCCCAGTCACTGTCACCGAAAAAAAAGGAAAACCATTACGTTGTCGAGCTCAACCTGAACAGATCTCTTATCAAGAAAAAATCGAAAAAATCCTATAAAATTTTTTGATATCCAAGAAAAAGCCAAGAAGGGTAAGCACCATGCCCAGACTGAAGGAGGAACCGGACCCGGAGTCGCCGCAGCGCAAGCGGAGGCGAGAGTCTCGTCGCAAGAATCGAACCGAGGCCAGGGAGTCCTCCTCCGAATCGGACGCCTCGGCTAGCAGCGATGACTATACCAGCGGGTCGAGTGGCTCCAGTTATTATAGCAGCACTACGAGCGGCTCCTCGAGCCGTTCCAGCTCCTCAAGCTCTGGCTCCTCGTCCAGCGAGAGCGAGGTGGACCCCAAAGAGCGCTCCGTGGAGATGCGGCGTGATCGTGAACGCTCCTCAAAGCACCCGTGCTCCTGTCACCGCCATCGACGTCATCATCGTCGCCATCGGCGCCACAATCAGCCGCGTCGCTCACGTCATCGTCGCGGCGGCGGCGGCGGCGGCGGCGGCGGCAGCGGCGGCCATCGCCATCACTCGGAGCATGGCAAAACCAGGCGCTCGCGGAAGAAACGTCGCGGAGGCACTACCAAAGCAGCCTCCCAATCAGCAACCACAACAGCCGTGGCTTCGTCCACCTCTTCGTCGGCAGCCACAGGTCCCATTTGTGCTGAGGGATTAATCAAAATACCGGAACCCATACCCAAGCCAGTGCCGGCGCCCATTGTGGCCACTGTCCCAGTGCTAGCCACCGTGCCAAATCCCGTTCAATCTGCTCCAGCTGCTACTGCTGCTGTCCAGCAGACCCATCGACATTCACGCAGGCCACGCGTAAGCAGATTCAGCTCCCAGCCCGTGACGGTGCAGCCCATTCAGATGACACCGAGTCATCCCATTGCCAGTACCTACAACAATGGCAATATCCATGCCATCTTTACCACCGATTCGGGTTCTAGTGGATCCAGCAAGACCCAGTCCACTGCCAACGCGACATCTTTAGCCGCTGGCCTAAGCATTGTTCCGGCAAGTAGCAGCAGCTGTCAATCTTCGAAGAGCAAGTCGGGCACCACGAAATCGAGTGAGTCTCACACCAGCAAGTCCACATCGCAGACCAAAACAGTGGAGTTAAAGCCGGCAGCTAAGGTTACTATCAAGTCCGAGCCCAAGACGGATGTAAAAATTGGGATTAAGGTGGAGTCCCACTCTAGTTCCCATGGTCACACCCATAATAGCACCAAAAGTAACACCAACAACCACAATATACACACTAATTCTCATTCCAATGTTCATACCAGTGCTCATACTCCTGCAATTGTCAGTGCTCTCACCAATCATAGCACAAAAAATAATAGCAATAACCACAATACACACACCAATTCCCACACCACTAAGCATATCAATTCCCACACCAATGTTCACACTAATAATAGCACTAAAAATAATAACAATAATACACACACCAACACTCAATCTAATGAACATACCCTTTCTCATACAATAACTCATACTAATGTACACACCAACACTCACACCAATAATAATACCAGCACCCACACCAACAACATTGCCCCTGATAATTTAAATTCCACCTTGAATACTCATTCCAACTACCTGGCTGATATTAACAAAACTGACAACACCAATGACCACACATATAATAATAACAACAGCAACACCAATCTCCACAACAAAAACAACAACACCAATCATAATTCAAACAACTCGGATCCGAGGAAAATTATCAATAGCCCACAAGTCAGGAATCCTGAGAAGCTGGCCTGCGGCTCCGAATATCAAACATCCAATCGCAACAATGCACACAATGTCACGGCCAGTGCTCGACCCACCAATGGATCGCCATCGGAGGAGAACTCTGGATCGGAATCGGAATCGGGGCAGAGGAATAGGCGACCGTGGCACTATAATCGTATGAATCACCAACATAAATTCCAGCGCAATTATAGGAACTACAACAACAATTACAACAACAATTATAATAACAACAATAACAACAACTTTAACAATCGCAATCAACGCTTTCGGAACGGCGGAAAAGGAAATGACCAAGGAGGAAGACCAGGTTACGGAGGAGGAGGTAACGGGCGAGCAGGTGGAAGTGGAAACGGAAACGGAGGAGGCGGAGGCAACGGAGGAGGAGGGGGAAGATTTAGTGGACGTGGCGGAGGAGGCGTAGGTCAGGGACCCCCACCGCACGCCCGTCCCCCTGTCAAGATCGTTCGTCTGCACATCAAACACTTGTCCCCTCAGGTGACCAAGGACCACATCACCGAGATCTTCGGGCACTTTGGACCCCTTACCGCCGTTGATTTTCCCATGGACCGTTTTGGTGGCCGCCAAGGTCGCGGCTATGCCTTTGTGGAGTATATCCATCCGCAGGACTGTTCCAATGCCATCAAGCACATGAACGGCGGCCAGATCGATGGCAAGCGGATCATCGTCAATGCCTTCCAGGAGGACATGCTGAAGGCACCGTGGCGCAACTATCGTCGCTTTTCGCCAGTTCGCACTCGTCGTCGTAATATGGATCGCTCCAGATCCCGTTCCACAGACTTTTCCCGTTCTCGCACCCGTTCCCATTCACGTTCCCGTTCTCGTACCCGTTCCCGTTCCCGTTCCCGTTCCGGCCTGCGCTCGGGATCACGCTTCAAGTCGCGCTTCCGCACCCGTTCCCGTTCCGCTTCCGGTTCCCGTTCCCGTTCCAAGTCCCGTTCCCGCTCACGTTCCCGTACCGGCAACTCTTCGCCAAACTATGAAGCCTACCAGCGTCCCGGTTCGCGTAACAACAAAAGGGAGGAAGCGCCATATTCATAAATCTCAGACACAATAATACTTTGGAATGGGACAGGAAGTCAAGGAGCCGAAGAAGATGAAAACCCTATGGAGCCTATGAATTCTAGAAGAAGAAGCCACGAATCCGATGGGATAATTACCTTGTAAAACTTGAAAAATATACACATTATAATCAACAAATAAATTCCCGAAATCAACACACAAAAAAAAAAAAAGAATATAAAACTATAATATTTGGACGACAAGTTCTATTTGGGGTTTTTTTTTTCTATTCTTGTGGAGTTATAAATAAATATTAAATTATATAAAAAATAAAAATAAATAAAATAAAAATATATAAAAAATAAAAATATATAAAATAAAATATAATAATAAAAAAATATATATAATAATAAAAAATAAAATATAATAATAAAAATTAAAATAAAATAATAAATAATAAAATATAATAAAATTAAAGTCATACATCTTCAACTTAAATTATTTAACTTTAAGTTTTCGTTTCTTGTTCCGTGGAAATGTCTAACAAAAAAATCCTAAATTGTTTGTAGTTTTGGTCTGGGAAAAATGCGGCGCGTCTAAATCCAATTTGTTTGGACGCGCTACCGTGTGGACGTTGGAAAAATGCGGAAAATTCTGTGGGCAAATAGAGAAAGAGAAAGAGAGAGCAGCCGCGAAAAACGTCAAGCTCGCTTTTCGTGGCATCATGTAAAACCCGCGATGCTTTCAATTTATTGGCATCAAAGGCAATTTAATTGTTTTGCGCCAGTGGCGGCGAACAGGTGGAACGAGCCAGCGGAACGGTCAGAACAGGTGAACAAACAAGGTGTATCTACGTACCTCCTCCCCCTCCCCCCACAGCTGAAACAGGGGATGTGCTCCAGGTGTGACACGACAAGGGAGATACGATGCCATGCCATGCCATGCCACCTTTTTTTTTTCTACTCATTCTCATTCTCATTCCCATTCTCAATTTTTTTTTTTTTGTATTTCGTTTCTTTCTTTTGTTGTTAAATGCCCGAAGGAAGTGCTGCCGCACACAATGGGCACTTTTAATTACGGATTTAGTGGGCGGCGGTAGGGAGGGGGAGGGTCGGTTGGAATGTTAACATTACGCATACGCCACAAAGGCGTTAAGTAAACACACGTGCCACACGCGGCGTATACGTAATGTGTGCGCGCGAACCAGTTATTGCAACGATTTTGGGATTTCGAGTAACCAATTAAGTGACTGCAACAGATGGTTGGGGGTTGGGGGGGAGTAATTAACCCTAGGAGAACTTTAATGAATTGAGTTTTCATTGAATTAAAATAGTTGTTAATAAAATCAGAGGGTTAAGAGGTGCTAATTTGACTTTGGATCTAGTTTCTAGCAAGGAAAGTGGCCTAAGAATTTATTTTATTGTTTATTTGTGTTTTTTTAAATGTTAGAAATTATAGAATATTTATAATAATGGAATATTTATTAAATTAAAATATTTATGAATAAGTAATATTTACTTTTATCCAACAAAATTGGTTTACTAAATTAAAATAATTTTAAATAAATTATTTATATATATAAAACCGTAAAAACACAAAATATATATAATTTATATTAAGTTCTACTTATTTTTAGCCGCTAAATAATTTTAAAAATTTTATTTTCACCTTTTCACACAGATGCCCTCCCGTGCTTTGAGCGCCATGCAGAAGCTAACAGCTCTGGACTTTGACTACAACGAGATTGTCCGCGTGGAGGACTACAGCTTCTATGGACTGAGGCTCTCCAAGCTCAACATCAAAGGCAACCGACTGCAGGGCATGCCGGAGCATGCTTTCGCCGGCTTGGAGGAATGCCTCCAGGAGATCGATGTCTCGGAGAACGGACTGCGCACTTTCCCGCTGATGGCGCTACGCAAATTGGATCATTTGAGGATCCTGAGGCTGTCCAACAATCGGATACCCACCTTTTATGGTGACATTCAGTTGGCCACCAATAATGCTACGGCTGCTGCCGCTGCCGTGGGTTCCTTTCAGTTGCCATCGTTGATTTTTTTGGACCTTAGCTCCAATCAGTTTGCCGAAATCGGTGACGATTGCTTCCGGGCTTTTCCGCAGCTGAAGACGCTCTCGTTTTATGCAAATCAAATTGAGCTGGTGCAGCCGGAGGCATTCAAGAGTCTGAGGGAGCTGATGTCGCTGGATATGTCGCACAATCGGATTGTGACGCTGGATGCCAAGGTTTTTGAGAGGAACAAGCGACTGCAGACGGTGGATCTGAGCCACAATCACATCCATGCCATTGGCGGGGTCTTCTCCGATTTGCCGCAGCTGCGCGAGGTGTTTCTCAGTGAGAATAATATTTTGGAGCTACCGGCGGATGCCTTTACCAACTCCACCAATGTGGATGTGATTTATTTGGAGGCGAATGCCATTGCCCACATCGATCCGAATGTTTTTAGTACTCTGGTGAATCTGGATCATCTGTATTTGAGGTCCAACTTTATACCCTTGCTGCCGGTGACTCTGTTCGACAAGAGCACCAAGCTAACCTCTTTGTCGCTGGACAATAATGAGATCCAGGATCTGGAGATTGGCATGTTCCGGAAGCTGGAGCATCTGCGAGAGGTGAGGCTGCACAACAATCGCATCCGAAGGGTGAGGAAGGGTGTGTTTGAGCCTCTGCCGGCACTCCAGGAGCTGCATATCCAAAAGAACAGCATCGAGGATATTGAGCCGCAGGCTTTTTACACTCTTGAAAATATGCAGCATATTAATCTGCAGGATAACCAGTTGACTGTGCTGGAGGATATCTTCCCGGAGGATAACTCCTCGCTGCTGTCCGTCCAACTGGAGGCCAACTATCTCCACAAAGTGCATCCAAGGACATTCAGGCGCCAGGGCAAGGTGGAGATCATGTGGCTAAGGGACAATCAATTGGTTCGCGTGGAGAGATCTTTCTTTGCCGACACCCCACAGCTGGGCAGACTCTATCTGAGCGACAATCGCATTAGGGACATTGAGAAGGACACCTTTGGAAGTCTGCTGCACTTGCAGTTCCTTGATCTTAGCGGAAATCAACTAAGGCAGCTGCGCAGGGACTACTTTGCCCCTCTACAGGGTCTCGAGGAGCTGAGCCTGGCTCGGAATCAAATCGAAGCCATCGAGGGCTATGCCTTTGCCAAGTTAAAGAATCTCAAGTCACTGGATTTGTCGCACAATCCTCTGGTTCAGCTCACCAGGGACATCTTCCTGGATGAACTGCCCCTGAATGTCCTTAGTCTGGCCAACTGTTCGCTGCGCAAACTGGAGCAGCACACCTTCAAGGCTCTGACCAATCTCAATGAGCTGAATCTGGAGCGGAATCAATTGAATCCCGCGGATATCCAAAAGCTGGACATACCCAATCTGCGGCGTTTGCAGCTTTCGCACAACAACTTTAGTCATGTGGGTTTGGGCGGCACAACTGGAGGGATTATGGCCGGGATGTTTGACCGCCTGCGCTCCCTCCAGCAACTGGCCATGGCCAACTGTAGTTTGGGGCAGATACCGGATTTGCTGTTTGCCAAGAACACCAACCTGGTGCGACTGGATTTGTGCGACAATCGGCTGACGCAGATGAACAGGAATATTTTCAGCGGCTTGAATGTCTTCAAGGAGCTGAAGCTGTGCAGAAATCAGCTATCCGAGTTCCCTCACATTGCTTTGTATAATCTGAGCACACTGGAGAGCTTGGACTTGGCCAGAAATCAACTGGCTTCTATAGATTTCTTCAAGCTAAGTGGAACCCTCAATCTTCGCCAACTGATCCTCAAGGAGAACAAGATCACGGCTCTCAGTGGCTTTAATGCAGTGAATCTCACCCAGTTGGACAGTGTGGATCTGAGTGGGAATCTTTTGTTGTCTTTACCAGCCAACTTCCTGAGGCATTCTATAAATTTACAAAAGGTGGACTTGTCCAGCAATCGATTCCTGCAAATACCCTCTTCCGCTCTATCGGATGTCTCGATTCCTCGCTTGTCCTGGCTAAATCTAACCGGAAATCCCATTAACCGGATTTATACCGTCAAGGAGGAACGGTATCCCTATCTCAAGGAGCTGTACATCTGCCAGACGAACCTCTCCATACTCACATCCAAGGATTTTGAGGCTTTCCAGGCCCTGCAGCATCTCCATTTGGTGAACAACCGGATCACCAGAATCTCGCCGGGTGCCTTTAAGTCGCTCACCAATCTCCTCACCCTCGATCTGAGCGTCAACGAGCTGGAGATGCTGCCCAAGGAGCGGTTGCAGGGATTGAAGCTCCTCAGGATCCTTAATATTTCGCACAACACCCTCAAGGATCTGGAGGAGTTCAGCTCTGATTTGTCAGAGATGCAGACTTTGGATCTGAGCTTCAATCAGCTGGATCGCATCTCGAAGAAGACGTTCCGCAATCTGCATGGCTTGGTGGAGCTGCTGCTCATGGGCAACCGGATGACGGTGCTGTCGAATGATGCCTTTCGGTTCCTGCGAAAGCTTCATGTGCTCGATCTGCGCAAGAATTACTTTGAGCTGGTGCCCCTGGATCCCCTAAGGCCGCTGGAAACGAATCTGAGGACACTGAAACTGGAGGGTAAGTGGGGGGAAATCCCAAATTTCTAAAAAATATATAGACTTTTTAAGCGATTCTAGCAGTTAGTATCAAATACCCCCCTCCGTTATACCCTATTTGTTGCTCATGTGTGTGTTTCATGGTTTGGTCATTTCAGAGAATCCACTGCATTGCAGCTGCGATGCCCAAAAGCTCTGGGAATGGCTAAGGGATCATCGTAAATGGTCCCTGCCCGCGACCGGAGGCAGCAGCGGCAGCGGCGGTGGAGTGACCCTGGGCGGTGGACTCTCTGGCGGCGATGCCATTAATTACCTGAGGTGCGAACACCCAACGGAGCTGCGGGGCAAAGTGTTTGGCCGCATGGAGCCGCAGCAGTTCTGCGATGCCCCGCTAATACCCAAAATGGCCATCCAGGACATTCAGCCCTATTCGGTGGTCGTTTCCTGGCAGAGTCGCGACCATTTGGGACTCACCGGTTTTGAAATTGTTTACCATGCCACCGGCGATGGTCTGGCACCTGCTTCTGGTACGGATCGGGAGAGGAATGATCCGGATAGGGATCGAAATCGAAGCGAGCAGGAGCAGGAGCGGGAACGGGAGCGAGAGCGAGAGCGAGAGAGGGAGAGGGAACGGGATCGGGACAGGGAGCGTTTTCCCATAGCCACGGATGAGGTGAGTTCATGGAAATATATATTTTTTATAAAAATATATTTTGGGGAAGTGAGATTTTTTTTTTAATGTTTTTAAACTCGTTTAAAAAGGCATCCTTTTTGTTAGAACTTAGAACTTTCTAAAAGTGTACACAAAATCAAAAGTAATTTGACAGCCGGTGCCTGCCGGCTAATAGCCACCTGAATTTTCCTTTAATAAACGCTTAATCAAGAGCCCAACTGCCGCAAGGTGGTGCTACACAGGACTAAGGGGGGCAGGATGCAGGAGGACGAGGGACTCAGGATGGGGCTTAGGGTAACCATTTTCGATCGGCTAGAAATGTAAACCGCCAGAAAAAGTTAATATTTGGCAGCTGGCTAAGCACTTTGGCGGCCAGAAAAATAAAATCACTTAAATAATATTTAAAAAAAATCTAAAAAATGAATTATTAAATATTTTAAAAGTTTTTAACATTTATAAAATATTTTAAAAATGTGTTAACATTAACTAATTAAAAAAAAAAAAATTTTAACCAAAAAAAGTTTTTAATTTAAATAATATTATATAAATTAATTTTTATTATGAGAAATTAATATTTAAAATATATTAGGCAAAACTTAAAGCATTTCTTAAAATTTTAAGTTGAGTGAAAATATTTTTGGAATGACAGAATGTGATTTTTATATTTTATTTATTTTTTATAAAATAAATAAATATTAAAAAATTTAAATCAAAACTTGAAATTTCACTAAGAATATTAAACTCAGTAAACCTATTAAAATAAAATATTTAACTAAGTAAAAATTATTAAAGTTAAGTTAGGCAAGAAAAGTTATTAAAATTTAAAAATATATTACACAGTTATTTAAAAAAATGCATTTTTTTCAAAGAAAATGTTGTATTTGCTATTTTCCTTTGCCTAAATATAAAAGAAATACAGCTTTTCTATATAAATGCTTGTGTTAAACATTAAGTTATATTCAGGCCTTTGTGTCCCGTCATAACTTCAACTTATCCCTGTCAGCTTAGGCCACATCCTGTGTAGCTTTTTGTCCGAATATCCGCATATCCGTTCTCCGCTTTCGGCCAGGTGGTTCCGCCAATTACCCACTAACTCATCGATACTGTCCGCTCATTACAAGCAGCAGCCCGGGAAGGGGAGTGGCTGTAGCATAGGAAAATCTTCCCATCAACAGGGGAAACCCTCCTTTTCATCCCCCCCCCTCTGATCCAGCGATAAACCGCGAAAGGACGCGAAAAGTCGCAGGGCCGCAGGGAAAGTTTTTAATAAAGCTACATCGACATGGACATGCGACATGGTCATGGAAAGTACCATCCATGGCTGATGAAAATGGAAATGACAATGGCGGACAATAACCGTGCTTAATTTATTCCACAGATCCATGGAAAGCGCCTCAATGGCTCCGCCAGCTCCACGAAGCTCACCCGTCTGAGTCCCAATACCCGGTATCACATCTGCGTCATCGGTAGCGGTAATTGGCTCTCAGAGCCTCTGGCCAATGCTCTCCAGCGGCTCCATGCCAACGAGTCGATGCGCGAGGATGAGTCCATGATGATGATGTCAGCGGGAGTGCCTCTACCGGACTCTTACTCGCCGTACCAGCACCATCAGCAACAGCAACATCAACAGCATCAGCAGCATCATCTTAATCTCAATCTAAATCAAGATCTCGATCTGGACATGACCAACACCATAGCCACGGATAATGGTGCCCTCATGGAGGTTCTAAAGAACTCCCACATCTCGGCCTGCACAGATGTCCAGACGCTGGACTCTACGCCCAGCCTGGTCACCGATGAGAATGGTCTGTCCAGCAATGGGTTCATCCATTCGATACTGACCCGTCGTCTGGGTCTCATTGTTGGCTGCTGCCTGGGCATCATTGTATTCATCGTAATGATCTCTGTCCTGAGCTATGTCAAGCTGAAGAAGCAGCGTATTGAGAATGCCAAAAGACAGGCTGCCTTGCCGCCGGAATATATATCCTATAGGCATTTTTCTATACCCAATGAGGAGCTGACCAGGACAGCGGCCAATGCTGCCAATGCAGCAGCAGCTGCTGCAGCAGCAGCCGCAGCAGCATCAGCGGCAGCAGCATCAGCATCGTCATCGTCTGGCAATGCGGCCAGTTCACCGCACATGTCCAGTGTGCCCAGCGGCATTAGTGCACACATTAGTGGGACCAGTTTGAGCACGGGAACAGGCACTACCAACACCACCACTGCCACCACGCCCATTGGCGGTGTGCCCATTCTGGGCGGAGGCGTTGGTGTTGGTGGTGGTGCCGCTGTGGTGGTGCCTTTGGGCAAGGCAGGCAGTCCTCTGGTGGGTCTCGTGGTGGACTCTGGCTCCGTGGAGGCAGCATCAACTGCTCATCATAGCAGCCACAATCACAGCCACAGCCATGCTGGCCATGCCCATGCACACGCCGCCGCCCACCGTCAGAATAACGGTTACATGGCAGCGGGCGTCGTCCTCAACACCAATCACCTGAGCGTGTGTTAGTCTCAGATTAAACAAAAAAAAAAAAAAGGTAAAAATAATGCAAATAAAGGAAAATTAAGCAAAAAAGAGCAAAATAAGAAAAGTAAATACAAATAAAAAAATACATAAGAAACTAAGGAGAAAATGATGGAAGAAAAGAGAGATGGAAAAGATGGAAAGAAAGACGGAAAGTAAGAAGGAAAGAGTGAAAAGCGGAATCCCCAAAGCAGGTCCGACTCCTTTCATATATAAATTCACCTATCACTTCCACTTTTAACACTTGAAATTCGATTTAAAAATTAAGACATTTGTTTATTTAAACATCTTAAGTATAGAAAATATATCTATGGAATATTATTTACAGAAGATAACTTAACAGAATTTATTTTACAGAAATGCATTTATTTCTATATATAATAAATATTTTTCTAATATTAACTTTAACTTATTAAGTTATTAAAAATAAAATTAAAATATATTTTAATATATCTTTCATTTTTTATAAGTATATAATTTCTTTATTAATGAATAAAAATTTTAAAATATTTTCTTAGAAGATATAGCTCAAGAAAATTTAATGCAAACACTGAGCAAATCATATCTTAAATAAATTTCTGTCTAATTGTATTAAAAAATTTTAAAAACACTTTTAATTAATAGAATTTAAAAACATTTAAGAGATCTTACATTCAATTTCTATAATTTAAAAAATATTTAGAAACCTTATGATGAATTTCTATATTTTTATTATATTTTAAAACACTTTTTTTTAATTATTTTATATTTAAAAATACTTTTTCTTATAAAAATTTCAAATGTTGAATAAGCCCTCAATATTAATATTTAACTTAAAAATATATAAAAACCTAACAATCGATTTATAAATATTTTTTTATAATTTAAAAAATACTATTTCTAATAAAATAAAACGTTTTCTTACATTCAATTTCAGTCATTTTAAAATATTTAAAATATCTTACTTTTAATTTCCATAATTTAACAAAATTTAAAAAGACTTTTCCAGATCAAAACTCAAATGTTTGATGTTAGTCCTCATTAAATTCTCTAACCATAAATAAAACCAAAAATAAATCGAATTTTAAGAGGATCTCTGCTCAAATGTGTGTCCGTTTTTAAAGCTTTTGAATAATTAAATGAATGACATGATTTATGGGAATTTTAAGTGAATTAAGTGAATTCAACTCGCGGCCATCAGCAAAAAATTAAATCAAAATCCCTCCCCCCCACTCATATTTCATATTTCAAATGGAGTCAAAAACTTTTTACCAATCAGAGCAAAAAAAAAAAAGCCAAAAAACCAAAACCAAAAGCCAAAGCATTTTTACGTTTTCAATGTGCCCAAAAAAAATGCATTTAAAAACCAAAACAAACAACAAAAACCCTCCCAAAAAAATAAAGGGAAAGCAAGAAATGATAGGTTATAGAAAAGAGAGTAAAAATCTAGGTTAGTGATAATCACGATGATGCGTTCAACGTTCGTTTAGTTATGACAATTTCGAAGGTAGAACACGGAGTCGCTCCATTTTGCAAATGTAAATAATGTGGAATCAAAGCGAGGATAATGTTGCAGCTAAACTCTAAATCAAACTAAGCTCGATGGCTATCTATAAGATATATATAAATATATATATATATATGAATAAATATCCATGGATATATGTAACCTGTAATGGCAACACACACCAACATGATAATTTTTTTTTTGTGAGCTAGACTTAGTGAAAAGTGCGTGGAATTTTGTGGAGTAATTTTTTTTTCTAGAAAGATAAACTAGCATAAAACTGAGTACGACATATTAACACAAAACTTAACTAATTGACATTTAAAATTAAATTAATGTAAGTAACAGCGAAGGCGAAGGCTAAACCCCCAGTAAGCGTGTGTAATTGTTAGCAGAACTCAAAGAGTTTCAAATATATATATATTATTATTTCCCAGTTTTTCTGTCTTATTTTTTTTAATATTAAAAATTTAAGCTTTAGTGGCCAGAAGGGGGAAAACAATTTACTTTAGCCAAAAAAAGCAGCTGCAAAATATAAGTAAAATTAATACAAATAATAATAATAATAATAATAATAATAATAATAATAATAATAATAATAATAATGTTAGAATGGCTAAAGAATTTCTAGCAAATTAAGCTGGCTGGAGTTAAGGAGTATAAATCAAATCAAAATCTCTGTGCTCTGTGGCTCTGCAAATATTTTAATATTGTTATATGCAAAACAAAACAAAACAAAGGAACACAAAAACACAACAATAGCAACTATAGTATGCAAGCAAACTTAACAAAAACGGCCAGTCTAAAAAATAAGAAGTATAAAACAGTAAAAATACAGCAAAAACTGCAAAACTCTTCAACTGCAAAAATCAAAATGAACAAAAAATCGAACTTAAGACAACACAAAAACTGGAAAACAAAGAATTTCCAAGCAGCAAAAAAGGAAACAAAACAAAAAAATAAAGAAAATTACGCAAAGAAGGGTAAAGAAAAGGTAAAGAATCAAATGAAACAAAAGCTTCCTTTATGCTCTACAAAATTAAAATATAAAAAATATAAAAAAAAGCGAAATGCAATTCTAGTTCAATTGTAGGGCATAAAAGGCAAAAAACGAAGGTAAAAATTAAACAAACAAGCAGCATACAGAAAATGCAAGAGAAAGATAACAGAACTACAATAAATGTAATAAATTAAAAACCCACAAAAAAAACCCCAGATATACACACTACACACACACAACAACAACAACAACAAGTAAAATATTAATAAAATGACAAGAAACTTTCAAACAATGGCATAAAACTTGTTTTTCATTTGATTGCAGCAGCGGCTCGGCTATTTGCTGACACGGTATTGTATTTGCTCAGTGCCTAACATTTTCCACCAATTTTCCACACATTTTCAGCATTTTCCCCATCTGTATTTACCTACTGCGGCATTGCAGAAAATGGAGCAGGTTTCTTCTTCGAGTTTTGATGCAGTATTTATTGCATTAATTTAAAGATATAAGAATATTACTTTTAAAATATATCTTTGTTATTTTTTGTTGAAAAGTTAAATTGATTTTTTATATATATATATATATATATATTATTATTTTAAAATATTATTTTTTTTTTCTTTAAAATACAACGAAAATACAAAAAATTAATTTACAAAATGAACTTTTGAATAAAAATAATAGAGATAAATTTTTTATTTTTTATGTTTTCATTTTCATCAAAAAATTAATCATTTATATCAATTTTTTTTAAGGTTAATTTTGCAAAATTAATATTTTATATTTGACATTAATTTTTCATTTTCAAAATTAACCTAATATTATTTTATTATATTTTAATATATATTTTAAATATTTAACTTTAAAATAATTGAAAAAAGACTTAATAAATATATTTTTAATTCATTTTCCAAAACTACATAAATAAATATTACTTTTAAAATTTATTTTAGCTTTTTTGTACCTAAAGATTACTCATATTTATTTCAACTTTAGAATAATTAACCACAATTAAATTTATTAATTAGTTTAACTCCTGAATTGATTAATATAAAATTCCCCCAAGTTCTCCCCTTAAAATATATAAATTAATATAAAAAAAAATTAACCCTAATGCAATACAAAGGATCAAGTTCCCTGCTCATCATCATCGAACTCCTAGCAAACTCCACTTGGTGCCTGTGCTCCCTTTGAGTGGGTCACATGAGCCCAGAGCCCACGAGCAGCCTTTGCTTACCTTTTTACCTTATTTTTATTTAGTTTCCTTTACTTTTTTTTTTTTGTTTTTTTGTATTTTATTTATTTACATGCACTTGCTGGCGGCCTGGCCCTCCTGTCGTGCTTTTTTGTTGCAAATTTTAATTAAATGGAAATTTCCGCTGTCTTGAGCACGTTTTCTCATCAACGGCATTAAATGCTATGCAGAATTTTAATTAGGCTCGCACACCCACGTTGCTTGCACATGTTATATACATATATATATATATGGTATACTATATATGCAACAGGAATTGCAGTACAATTGCAGGCCAGGTTGCAGGATGGTGTCCCTCTACCTTTAAACCAACACCTCTCAATGCTGCTTTACTTGCAACAATACAGGCAGGCAAGTGGGAAAGTAACTAAGTAAGTAAGTTGTTTAATTAAAACAAACTTTAATTGGCAAAATTTGCTTTCGCTTTCGCTGTTAACTTATGTCCTGGTTCTGTACCTCCATCATCATCATCTGCTTTTGGCCCTAATGGCTGGACATGCTCCTGACACGTCGTCTCCCTCCTTAGCCTGGGCAAATATGTCGCACTAATTGAAAATAATCAAACGGCTGGCGTTGGCCACATCGAAGTTAATTGCCTAACACGGTGTCAGGTAAGCTCACAAAAAAAAAACTGGAAAAATCTAGAAAAAGAAAACATGAAAAAAAACCTGAAACTCTAGAGGAAATAAAACAAGCAAGAGAACAGTTTCAATTGAAATTCCCAAGAATCAAAATAACCAAAGAAAAAATACAGGAGTTCTTAAAAGACCTAAAGAGAAGGCTGCCTTTGATATATAATTTAAATAAATTTAAAAAAATGATAATAATAAATAAAAACTAATAAAAAGAAAATAATAATTATAATAAAAAATAATAAAAAAAATAATAATAAAAAAATAATAATAAAAAAATAATAATAAAAAAATAATAATGAAAAAATAATAATAAAAAAATAATAATAAAAAAAAATAAATATAATAATAATAAAAAAATTATAATAAAAAAATAATAATTATACATATAATTAGTACATAATTTAAATTAAAATTAATATAAGTGGAGGTAATTATAAAATTTTTTATATATTTTAAAAGGCTTATTTTATTCAGCATTTATTTTTTATTATATATATTTCACATTTACCTTAAATCAATAATAATTTTTTAGCTTAAAATTCATAATTTTTAAATCTATTATTTGTAATAAAAATTTCTTAGCTCTATACATTATATATTTAAGCTAAATTTA